TATTATTTAACATTTTCATTAGTGATTCTAAGAAAATTGTTTTCTTTCAAAATTTTTCACTAATTTCATATTTCTACAGGTTTTTTGGTTTCGCTGCATATTCACGCATACACATACTCGTAATTTGCCTTCGTATCTGTTCTGTGTCATAGTACTCATTCACAATTTTGATGCTGGTTAAAAATAGTAACGCACACCTCTATATATGCAGATCTATATTTATGTTTTAATTTTTCTATTTGGCATTTCGAAAATGCATAAACTGGTGATGAGACTGTTTGCGCTGTTAAACTTGAACTCGATATGCGCTTGCTTGCAAAAGTTCGCAAACTTGGTCAATAAATTTGTGGTAAATTGAATACCAAAAGAATTTTAAAAAGTACCGCTCAGAGCGCTCTTGAAAGAGAAATAAACTTTTAGTTTTGCCATATTCATATGGGTTCGCTTTGGATAGGCTTTTCAATGCCTTTTAGCAGCGAATCAAATTGACAGTTACTTATTGTGATCGAATAAATAAAATTTTCGACAAGAGAGTATCAATTTTGAAATCTGATATTTATGAAGAGTTTATCTGTTCAAAGCCGTTAGATACAGGAGACTTCTTTTAAGCATATTAATCTAACATAATATCAAAAATTAAGCTACTGACGTTAATCAGGTGACATTTTTTTATAGATCCACAGAATATATTTATGAAAAAGTTAATTTCAAAGTAAATTTATTACTTAAAAATGCTTTATGTACTGCAAATCATCATAGTTTTCTACTACAGAATGGCACAAAGTCAGTTTAAAATTGAATTGATTTAAATGGAAACAGATTGCATTCCGCAGCTGCAGGGTACTTAATATGGATTCAAAAATAATTTCAGAGTATGTTAAAAGAATCAATTGTACATAAATAGCTTTCAAAATAACCTTGTGTATTCGAGTTGTTAAAGCAACGCATTCGTCAATAGTTTAAATAAGATTAGGAATATAAAAACTATGTAATTTTAAGTACATAATTTCTAACAGATGTATTCTTTTATTTTCTACATTGTCATCATATAAACAGCTGGACTCACTTAAAAGTCTAACGAATTATAAAATTTTCTTGGCAGATACTCGCTCGTAAGATTGTATTGCTTTTATGTTGGAAGCGAATAGGGCAAAGACCAAATTTCTGAAGTAATATTTTGATCATAATCAAAATCGGTTTTAATTGCATTTTTTATTTTCTTTTTTTTTTTTCTCTTTTTTTGAAACATAAATTTCATGAGATCTTTGCATAATTAACCATTTTATCTAATATTTCTTGCTTTATTTTCTATAATAAACACAAAAATGATTTTATTGTGCTTTTTTCTCTACTTAATTGTAAAATTAATATTTTCTATTAACATGTTCAACCGAGTTTGAACTTAGTATGTAAAAAATATTGTTATTATTTACTTCTACTAAAACGGTCACTAGTGCGAAAGCTCTATACTTTTTACATTTTTCGATGAATAATGTCATAATGACTTTTTATAATCGAACAAGAATTTCTCAATAATCCACTACTTAATGAATTAAACATAAAAATTGTGGACTAACTGTATACAAGTTAGCACGCCACACATTTAAAAAGTATCATAAGATGTATTAATATCATATGATACAAATTAATGCTATATGACACCAACCAAATCGCTGAAACGGCGGACGTGCAGTACGAAATTGTGGAAGCGCAGGTCAGCGAATTCCATTCCCGTTGCAGTGGCAAACTTTGGTTTAGAGTAAAGTTATAATTAATTGTAACTTAGTTCACATCTTTAAAAATGTAAGATTAATGTTCATTTATTCAAAATCAAAATTTCATTAATACTTCAAGTAAAAGACTGATAAATTTGAGATGTCTAGTTGCACGACACTAAAATGGCTATAACTTTGAAAATAACTTAAATTTTGATAAATACTTTTGGAAGAATTTTTGAAAATTTGAAATAGGGAAAAAAATTAGACTTTTTAAATTTATAGCCTAAAATACGCCTTTAATAAATAAACAACTTGGGGACAATGTTCTTTAATTGCTTATTATTTTCCATAACATATTTAGTCTAAACTCTTTGATTTTGCTATTTGCAAATTTAAAATTAAAAGCAAAAACAATTTCAACAATTGAATAATTGACTTTGAAATCAGGGCCAAAATAATATTCCAGCGCCTTAAGCGTAACAAGAAAATCCTTTATTGACGATAAAAATAAAAAGTCACAGCCATAAAGTAAATCTACTCTCGCTGCAAATCTGTCAATTAAAATTTATTCGAAATCCTTTAACGCCATCGCCGTTACACTCAGGCGCACAATTAAACGAGTATACCAATTGATCAAAATCCATAGCCGCAGGTAATTTTCTTTGCTTCTTTTTCACTCAATTGATATATTTTTTATGCCGACTTCATTGTAATTCACTGCATTTACTTCTCACGCGCACGGCAACTGCAATAGTGTGAAAGGCGAAAAGGTGCGATAAAATAGAATGAAAGCTGTCAATTAGTGCAACACTCGGGGCCATTCGTTTGCCAGCACGGGCGCAAGAAGACAAAATGCACCTTGCGGCACAGCAGCAATAAGGGAAAGTGCATTAAAGGAAGAGAGAAGCGCGCGAGACAGTTTGAACAATAGAATATTAATTTAAGCATTTCCTGCAACGGCGGCAATCGAGCGACCACAACGACGTTTAAACTATGACCGAATGCTTTTCTAACAACTGGATGGGGCAACTGCACAAAAGCTCATTGATGAACTTATTTGTGTGTGTTTGTGTATGTGTATTAATACGTGCACTTCGAATACCTGTTGCCCAGTGCCTGTAGCATACACCTAAGCGCATTGGCGTCAGCGTGCTTTATTGGTTGGCAACAGTTAGCGGAAGTTTACCGAAGTAGCAGCAGAGGCACAACTACACACCCGCTGTACTGTTGTGAGTCAACAAGACGAGTGTTAATGCCTCTCTTACCACTACCAATTGCCGCGCTTGTTGCAGGTGCCCACACTGTTGCATGAAATTTTCATTGCTTGCTTTTCTTCTTTCCGCTTTGTTTATTTATTTTCGCTTGCACTGCCACTGTTATTATTGTCATGTGCTGCCCAATGCTCCCAAGGACACTTTGGTGCACATCACACTCGGTGTCTGTGTGTGTGTGATTTTGTGCGGCATGTGTCTTGCAGTATTGCAATAACTGTCACAAACAGCTGTGCTTGTCCACTGCCCACGACTACGTTTCTCCGCTCTGACTGACAACGCGCTGTTTTTTTACACTTTTCTTGTTTATTTTTCTCGCTATGTTGTTCGTTGTGATTCGCTTCGGTTGACAATGCTTAAGGCGACTACAATGTCATTATTGTAGCTGTCTTTAAGAATACTGTTCAATAGTATCTGTTATTATAATGCGGATTTGTTATATTTAGCGTCTTTTAATTGGAATAAATTGAGTGATTCTTCAATTTTATATAAATACGGACAATGTATATAGGTCATCAGAGCCTTTAAGAAGTTATTCAAGAACATTTCAAGTAAAAGAATTCCCTGAGAAGATTCACCTGATTTTTGTATGTCTTCGAAATGTGGGCACAATAGACCATAGGTCGCGCTGCATACTTTACTCAAATCTAGTCTTCGAAGTTTTTTAATTTTTTTCTTACTTTATTCATTTTTACCTTATTTTACACACGCTCACACGCTCGTGAGCCTACATGTTGGTAGCTTTTACATAATTGGAGTCTTTATTAGAGAAGTCACACTGATTTGTTCGTAATAAATAGTAGACAGAAGATTTTATATACGTTTTAACCTTATACAGTATCAAAAGCGTGATTTCGTTAAGGTTACTCCAATATCTCAAGAGAACTCGATTTTTGTTCTGAAATCGGCGATTGTTTGATTTCTAGTACATCATTTAGGGAGAGTGTCACGAAGTTAGATTACTCCCATGTGAATGGCGTTAACTGCCTGATCTGACATTATCTTCTAATTTCTTACATACGGGTCACAGATCACGGATTCTTGGCAGTTCAAGCCATCTATAATCGACATATAATACATATATTATTAAATCTATATATAAAATAAATGGTTTTAGTAATCCGTATTTCATGTTGTACTCGTACAAGCATGTTAAATTTATGATGTTGCCGTTAGAAAGATTTCATATTAAAAAAAAGACTAAGCTATTTGCAAGTCGCTGCTGAATCGCAATAGTCGTGGTTGAATTGCGGTGAGCCGGCGCCGGCCAAGACAGAATTGACGGTCAGGATGTTTTTGCTATATGCTTGGTGGGATTCGCAGAGAATCGTCTACCATGATCTGTTCCCCCACGGGCAATCATTTAATTCGGATCTTCAAAGTCAACCATTGGACCGTCCTTAGAGAACAATGGCCCAGAATCGGCTAGCTTTAGCCAATAGGAGAAAAATTGGTTTCCATCAGGATCACCTCAGGCCACACACATTGCTAGTGAGTCGCAAAAACTTACGGCAGCTTGATTGGAAGGTCCTTATCCAATCATCTTATAGTTCGGACCTGGTCTGTGGTTCGAACTTATTCAGCCATTAAAACTGTTGCGAACGCATTCGCAAAAATTCGCTTAGAAAACAGAAAACTTTGTCAAAGGAAATGGATACATATGTATATCGACCAGATCAATGTCCAGACTTATTCGTGGTCGCCATCCAGCTACTGTAGTGGTTCGTTATGGAGTCTCCTGTAAAGGCGTTACAGCTCTTCACTTCTGCGAAAATGGATTAAACTGAGAAAAAATTGAATCAACAGGATGTTCTAGAAGACGTTATAAAGCAGTTAAATAATACGCTCATCGATGGAGAGCATTGGTTCTTCCAATGTGGCATAAAAGCAATATTCATGGTTTTATATACGGAGATGATTGATATATATATATGAAAAAAGGAGTTATAAATGTATATAGAAGAGTGTTAGCTATGTATGTCTACAAAAGTCATCTAATTTATTTACTTACATGACGCCAATTCCTGCAGCTGTTGAAACTCACGCGGCGATAATTTGTCCCATTTATGTGACGTGGCTGTCATTGTGCCTGTGAATATGCAAAAAAAAACGGATATTTTTTATTAGGATCAAGTAGTAAGCAGATACAGACGCGTAAAGACAAATGCTAGTGAGAAAATGTCACTGAAATTATTCACTGATTTATGACCAGGTCATCAAATGAAGCTGGAAAATATTTAGCAAGTAGTTGAGGAAGAGGCTAGTCTACAAAATGAAAAATATACACTACTCATGCATAAAACAAATGGAGACATAACAAGCAACTAACTTAGTGACGGCTGTCACATCATTTATCACGCCGCAAGTAATTGCGGCAAATTACAGTGTGTCAAAAGTGCTGAACTCAACCGACACTAAGTAGCCAAGTGTGGCCCCAGCGAAGCTGGTAATTGAAGTATGCCTCTTGACTCTTCCACACACACACACACACATGTGCAGAAAATGAAGTGAGCGAGTCGAGGTTGTGACAAATGTGATATGTTGACGCGATTGGCGCCGCACTGTCAATAAGTGATGTTGGCGAGTGTTCCCGGCAACTACAAACACACTTATGTATGTATGTGTGCTGTCTATTAGTGTGACACACCGGAAGGCAAGTAGGCAGCCAACTAGTAGCTGCAATGTCACTCAAAACAGCCACAAAGTATGCATTGTTAATGACCAAAGGGAAATGAGACACAGCCAACACACACACACATCCATCCTTACACACCTATTTTCTTATGTTCGTTTCCATTAAACCAGCACACATACAAACATACACGCTTTTACTTGTCAATTGTATTAGTGTTTGTTTACGGATGCTCCAAGGAATACCAACAACATGTTACAAAGAGATGACAGCGCCATTTGTTGGCATTATGCCAGCAGCTCTGCCAACACCGTTTCGCATACTCAATTAAAATTGTCAACATTGTCATTATTGACGTTAAGCCGCCTAATGCTATGCTTTCAATTTGTGCAGTTGACATTATGCAATAAAAACTATTTGTCTATGTTAGTATGCTGGCGGTAAAATGTATTGAATTTAAATTAGCGAGGTGGTGGAATTGAGTGGTCGGCTAGTTAGTTTTTGAAATACTAGTTACTCAACTCGCTAACAACTAGTTACTCAAATTTTATAAATAAATTAATGAAATTTACAACATCTATGTAACTAGTTAGGAAATTTGGAACAATTAGGTTGGTTAGCAACCAGTTACTAAACTGGTTATGAACTTAAATTTAAAAATTACCATAGTTAATGAACTTTCGCAACCCATATGTAACTAATTAGGGAACTTGGAACAAACAGGTTGATTGTAAGCTAGTTACGAAATGGTTTATCAACTAGTTACTCAAAATTTTTTAACCCTTAATGAAAAGTTTACAACTTACATATATGTAACTAGTTACGCAACTGGGTACTAACTACCTATATAGTAAGGTGGATCAAAAAAACTTAAAATTTTTTCCTTAGATACCGTCGACATGACAAAAATTCTGTTAAAGTTTTTAAGTTTTTAGCAAAAGTGAAAAGTTATTCATGCAATGAATTTAACGATCTATAATAATATTTTAAAGTAATTTTTTTCATCGCTTAAAAGTTATTAGAGGTCAAAGTCCAACCTTTAATCGTGAACGATAATTTTTACATCTATTCACATTATTACACAAAATAATGCCTCAGATTCATAAAACAAGCAAAATTATTCCAGAAAGTTTCGACATCAAAAATTCTGAAGCTAACGCTAGGTGGCGCTATATTACATTTCTTTCATTTTTTGGGTTTTCAACGGAAAATAGCTGTTTTTCAGGTCTGTTTCATTCTCAAAGTTGTACTAGGTGACGATATAAAGGTCTATTTATTATTTTTAACAAAAAACATAAATTTTGTGAGAAAGAATATTATGTTCAACGAAAAAACCAGACCTTAATGATTGTTTATCAACCTGAAAAATCGTATAAAAAACTAAAAATACCATTTATTCTAACTTTTAACTATGAAAGAAAAATATTTAATGTTCATTATTTCTCAAGCTTAGTTTTAGATCTCCGTACTAGTATAGCTCTAATCAACAACGGACCACTTGATGAAGAGCAATATTTTAATGATTTTCATTCTAGGTAATCTAATATGTGCGCCTTGGTGCTTTATTTGCAGTATTTAGCTTTGTTTGCAAACGTTGACGCCGCTGTCAATTGCTGACCAGCGGGAGTGTAACCCCATAGGGACAATACACTGTCATTTATAAATAGCGCTTGATAGGCATCTTGACTTCTTACTCAACGCCTAGCGGTATACATAATGCTGCTGTATAAGTGCGCGTGTCTTCTATTCGTTTACTGATGCGCGAATTTCTAATTTATTTAGACTCTTCATTTTAACTGTTAAGTAAAGTTTTAGAGAGACTCAGAGATGGAAAAATATGGATGGAAAGTAATATATGACGAAAATATCATAAGTAGCTTAAGCAAATTTCAAAAAATATTACAAAGTCAGCTATTTTAATCAACTTATTAGGTGCTGGAAATTATTCTTATCAGTTTAAAATATAAAACGTTATTTATGATAATTAGAGAAAGTTTTTGTGCTTAAATATTTATATAAAAATCTTTTGTCTCAACTGTAGCTAGTGAAATGGTAAAAAAGAGAAGAGGCAAAGAAAGAAGTGGAACTAGCGCCAACTGTTCACGAACTTCTTCGGCTGAGCATAAATTCCATCAAGAAGAAAGAAATGAAGAAATAGTAATAAAATTATATATGAAAATAACAAAGTTCTCAGGGAGCAGTTAAATAATTAATTTTTAACATTAGAGACAATTCTAGAAATTACTAGTATTACAGTCGAATTAAATATTTTGAATAACAAGTATTTATTATTTCTGGCTGGATATTAAAACTATAGCTTTATTTATAGCCTTAGAGTTGCTTTCCGAGGCGGGTATTCGAGTTTCGAGAACAGGAAACAATCAAAGAGCATCAAGACTCATGAATAACGTTTTGTTTTAAATAGGTTTATATGAACAGGGTCTACTAAGTTTGCCACGAAGTTTGCAATAAGCCGAAAAAAAACGTCGAAGACCCTACCTGTCTGTACGAGTATATAGGGAATCCTCTAGTTTTTGAGATATCGGTCTAAAATTTTGCTTATTTCCTTTTCCTTCCCTGAAGCTACACATTTGTCGAAACTGCCAATATCGGACCACTTTGGCATATAGCTGCCATACAAATTGACCAATAAAAATCATGTACTTATATGGAAAACTTTTTTATTTGAGATATTATCTTCACAAAGTTTGGCAAAGATTATTCTCTGGAACAACGCTACAATTTCCAAAAAAAATTATACAGTTCGGATCAACATAGGCAATAGCTGCCATACAAATTGACTGATCAAAATCAAGTCCTTTTATGAAAAACTTTTTATATGACAAGATGTATTCACGAAATTTGGCGTGTATTTTTGCCCAATACAAGAGTACAATCTCCGAACAAAATTTTTAGATCGAACGCATTTAGCTGCCATATAAACTGAACAATCAAAATGAAGTCCTTATATGGAAACTTTTTATTTCTGACAAGATATCTTCACAAAATTACGCATAGATTTTCAACGCAGGTAATGTTATGTTACCATCTCCGAAAATATTGTTTGGATCGGACTACTATTGACTATGTGTAGCTGCTATACAAGCTGCCGATCAAAATCAACTCCTAGTGTGAAAATTTTTTTATTTGACATGATATCTACACGAAATTTGACATGGATTATTGTCAAAAGCAACGCTACATTCTCCAAAGATACTGTTCAGATCGGACGACTATAGCATATAGCTTCCATACAAACTGACCGATTAAAATCAAGATAAAAATCCTTTTATAAATTTTATGCTATAAGAAATGCACCGGTAAAGGTTATTGTAGCTTTAGTGCAGCTGAAGGTAACGTCTTTTTTTATTTATCTTCCACCACTAAGCGTTTAATTGAATAATTTCGTCCAAAACGTGATCAGATGGTTTCGAATTTTGCTATCAATTAATTTAGTTTTTAAGTTTTTAGAAAATATCACAATTATTCGTAGATACCAGCCTTTATCTCCCACTTACCCACAAATTCCCGCTCACCGTAAACCATTAAAAAATTAAAGACACTTACACACACATTTTTATGCCATTCTTTCTTACCCACTATTTGTTTACTCATAGTACTTTATATATCTGTCATTGGAGTTCTTAGCGACCCCCCCTTGTTGCATATTAGTACGTCATCAGCGGCTGTCATCAACAAAGTAATTACAAATGACGGATGCTGTTAGTCGTCGTCGTCGTCCCTTTGAGTGAGTGACATGTCGAATTAGCCTATTTGTTTGACGACGACGAGTGCACGATGTTGGATGGAAAGAGCTATGACTTACACACACACACATATATATATCTAAGTGCATAAAGGTGACATATTTATATGCTTCACATGCGTGAGTGTGTGCGTTAATAAAATTTCTTCGTCTGGGGTATTTTCAGTTCACCTCCTTCGCACAATACACTTTGTTGTTGTTGTTTTCATTGACACTCCTCCATTTTGTCATTTAAAAATATGTATGTATGTATGTAGTAATTTCTTTGTGCCCCCACTGTTGTTGTTGTTGTGTGTCTCTCTTCATCGTTGCCCACGCAAATACGTATATACTATATAAATATGTACCTACATACATGCATACATTTAGATAGATATATTGGTGTTCTTTTTTGACAACACTCTGCCACTTTGCTGCGCTTCACTTGGAAAATTTATTATTTTCATTTGATTATATTTCATTCTTTGTTTCTTTTTTCTCACCCTGCGCTTTGCTTATCTGCGCGTAATTTAATTTAGAAATTTCTTTTCTGATTTCATTGACGTGGCACGTTTTTTTATTTCTGCCCCTCCTATTTTACTTATATTATTGTTGAGTTTTTTGCTGTTGTTGTTTTGGTTTTATTTGTGTATGTGAGTTGCGTGTGACGATGCCGTCCAAGTGATATTTAAATATAGTATTTTTTACTATA